CCGCGACTTAGGGCGACCACCAAGTACGACATCTTCGACTGCCACATCTACCACCACGACAACAGGTGGTGGGCCAACATTCCAAAGTGTTGGAGCTGGATGCTGCCGCAGAAGTTGTCGTGCGACACCACAAAGCTGGATCCTGAATCCTGGGAGTGCGATCCTGAGTCGGGGTGTGGTTTTGCATCAGACTGCAAGGTCAGATACTACTGCAATTCCGACTTTCCCAACTCACTTTGCAACGCCTTGGGAGACAGCGGCTCCGCCAATGTGGTGGGAGCAGTGACACCGGTGGCACCCGTCGAGTGTCCCAATGACTGCATGGTACAGACACCCGCTGCACTGCCCACCACTTGGACTACGACTTGGTCGAGTGTCATGACCGATGCCGGTGCAGGCACCGCTTGTGTCGGTGGTGACGACGTTGTCGCTTATCTCACAGAAAGTGACACATCGGGTTTGGACTATCAACAAATGGCCCGACTGTGTCTTGATGATCCGCAGTGCCATGCCATTGCTTTCAAGACTGCATGTGAGAGTATTGACTATGGCTCATTGTTGCAAGACAAAAAAGTCTCTGTGAAGGTCAATGGCTCCAGCGATGTCTCTCGCTGTAGCGGTTGCTATGGTCTTGGCTGGACGGAAAAGTTGAAGCGATACCAGATGAGATATGCAAAACCTGGAGAAGGAGTGACACTCAGTGGTAATGGGGTTGCGCCTGTGAGAGGTGGTGACGGAGAAAAAGCACAAAATCACGAGTGGAAGGACTACTTCCGGTGCTATGTCAAGGTTGGGACAACGACTTCGACGCAAACCACCACGGTGACCACCACGGTGACCACCACGGTGACCACCACGGTGACCACCACGGTGACCACCACGGTGACCACTTCGGTCACTTCCACTACACCGTTGTCTTTTGTGGTTGACCTTCTGTGGGAAGGGTATACTTGTTCTCCAGCTGCACCTTGGTTGGGACAGACCGACACGGCTGAGGAATGTGCCAAGCTTTGCCAGAAATCACCCAAACCATACAGCATGTCCAGAATTGTTTGGGTGAAAAATGGTGACAAGAACTGCAAATGTGCAGCTGATGATTGCACTCCTTCAGAATGGCAGTGGGGAGCAGTCTACAGTTTCGAACTTTCCACTGGAACAACGACAACTTCCATCCCATCGAATGGCTGGCTTCTTGTTCAATCTGATGGTGCTTGTCGTGGTGCTGCCCCCTCAGACAATTCTGCTGCTTACTACGTGGTGATCAGTGCAACGAGTTTTGAGGAGTGTCAGACACAAATGCAGTCGAAATCCACGGCGATGCCGTGGTGTGAAGTGGGCTGCAGCTGATCGTCGTTGCGAAATCTGGACACGACCCAATGGCATCGAGGCCGTTGCCAATGTCTCTGGCTTCGAATGTTACCGCCGGGTGCAACACCCCGTCTTCTCGACCGTGGGTGCCGTCGGTGGTCCAGGCACAGCTCGCAGAGGTGAGAACACATCGGACATCTCGGCATCGCATTACAGCAAGGTCTCGGCCCATTCCATCGAGAATTGCCAGTCTCAGTGTGAGAATGATGCCATGTGCCAAGGAATCAATTTCAATTCCGTTGCACAATTGGAACACCGTTCCGGCCAGTACGGATATGTGTTTTTCATTCGTGCCATGAATCAATGATTCATGGCTAGTCAATGGTAACTCGGCTTTCCTGTGCGGCACCGCAGGGTGACAAGGCCCTGTAGAGTCGCATGTAGCAGCGAGATGCTTCCTCTTTCCCACCGTTGTTTCTTGAATCCAAGTCCATCCAGATGCCACTCATTTTCAAGTTTTCAAGATGTTCTTGGAGAGAAAAAACTACAGATATGCACATTTGCCATTCAGATTGCAAGGACCTAGACATGTTGTGAAGAAACCAGGGTCCCAAAGACATGTCACGCTCATTGTGTTATGTACTGCTAATGTCAACGTTGAACATGATGCTCACTCATCCATACATAAATACTTACATATCCACATATCTACATGCACACCCGCATACACATACACACACATATATGTGTATACTATGTATATCTTTTCATTCTCCATGTCATATCTCTATGCCGCGTGGCAGAAGTTGCGATGCACCACAGCCCGCGTGCACGAGATGAGTCCATTAGCTCAAAGGTCCTGGACCTGAACCGCAACCGCGTCGCGGATCCAGGTTCGGAAGCAGATTGCCAACTTGTAGACAAGCAGACTTGGCGCGCCCTGCAAGAGCAGGAATCGGATGCTTGGCCCAAGTGGTGCCCTTGGGTTGCGGCCGAGAAATTGTGTGCTGGGAATCTCTTGAGCAGGTATTGGAGTTGCCTTCCTTGACGGACCTGGAAGTGATGCTTTTTGACAACCGAGTGGGGGAGGCGCGCCACCCGCCAGTGCATCGACAACCCACAGTCGTGGGGTGCCGGCATACCACTTTGATAGAGAAGTGGGGTGGGGTTGTTGTTTCCGGACCCCCCCCCCTCCCGGCTTGTTTGCCCCCCTCTGTTCTTCTCGAACAACAACACAACACCCCCCCTCCCCCCAAGTTGTTGTTCTTCGAACAACAACCCGNNCGCCCCCGGCCCCCCCCCCCCCCGCCTGGGTTTTCACCCCTCACAGTCCACTACCCAGCATGTGCGTTAGTCAGACGGTCTAGTGCTGCCGCCCTTGACCAGCACTCCCGGAACAAAGACTGGCGCAGGGCGCAGAGACGACTGCTTTCTCTGCAGGATGGGGCTCGGCAACTGGCAGCTGCTATGCGTGGCTTGAAGTCGGCAGCACAGCTCTAGCTTGCGTTTGGGAACTCTTATCCTCAAGATGTCGACTGAATTTGCCTCAGTGCCGGTATGCTCTCAGTCTGGGACGAAGGGCACCGGCGGACCTGAAAGACAATCGGCCAGTTGCTCCTTTTGCTTTCTGAGATTGTCTCGCCTTGTCCTGGGGCTCAACAGAAATGCGGTCGGAAGCTTGGGCATGCTTCTCTGCTAGTCTGCTCGATGAGTGTGAGAGCAGCGAGGTGTCAGAAGCTGGCGTGCAGGCTGGGCCTGGCTCGGCCTGGCGAGGGAAGTTTGGGATCCTCGATGCTCCAGGACATTGCGCATGCGGTGACTTCCCAGAAACTTCGTGACCTGGAGCCACGTGCCCGGCAGAGACTCTCCAGACTCCCGCGATGGCGCTTCAATCTCCTTCAGGCTGGATCTGAGCGTCAGCAGCGTGGGCTGGCCAGGCAGGCACGAGCTGATGCGTGTTGGGCTTCCTGATCCTGTTTCAAGGCGCTCATGACCTTGGAATGGCGATCTCTTCCTTGGAGGCTTCCCGTGCAGTTTGCATAGTCGTGGGCGGACGAATCGAAGTCTTGGTCACCTTCTGCCGTGCAGGGGCTTCAACATTTGACCCTCGACCTGAACGTGAATCATGTAGGCCTGCCCTGGGTTTTTGTGCTTGCTTGAAGATTTCGAAGGTTGGTTGCGTGGCAGTGTCACTCTGCAAGAATGCTGGCACCCTCGGCCCCAGGTTCTGCAGGGGCACGACTCCTAGCACAGGCGAGGCCTCTCACGGATGCCCCCGAGCCAAACATGTGCCGAATGCTCATAGTCAAAGTGGGCCATAGCCATAGCAGCGTCCTCTCTGTGAAGGCAATCTCAGCGCAACAAGCTTTGGTTGCATCCTGAGTAAGATCTGAGAGCAGTCCGATGCAGAATGATGCAGAGGCATGGGTGTTCTGGTATTTTGTTGTCGTGTGGGCTAAGTGCAGCTGGTGCTTCAGGTCAGCCTGCGTTTCCTGGCGTCTGGGAACCGCATGCGTGAAGTAGGTGCCCGTGAATTATCGCAGGCACCGCATACTGGGAACACAGCTTTCTCGTGCTTGTCACCTGTCGTTCATGAAGGTCTGGCTTGAGTAGATGTGTGGCTGTAGCAGGCCTTGACGTCACTGCGCCGCCTAGCCAGCTGCCTGCAGATTGCTCGTTTGCAAGAATTCTGTTGTGCGCAACCACGCCTGACAGGCATTTATCGTTTTTGGATCCCTGTTGCTGGCGCGGATTCAATGCACCACGCTGCTTAAAAAACAACTGTAAAGATTTCACGACAATCCCCCACGAGCTCCGAAGGTATCGAGTCACAGCTCCTGCCTGCTGTTTGTCCGCTCTATGCGTGACCACCAAGGTCAGCTTGGAAATGGATGTCAGCGGCAATGGTATAGGTGCGAAGCTCTCGGCCAGCGTTTGCAAGCTACAAAGCTTGGAGATTCAGAGGTGATACGGGTGCGTGCGACCTGGCACGTGCCGTGGGTTCATTGGGAAGACTTTGCAGGCTGCAGTGCAGACTCAGACTTCTGCTGTGCCCTTTCCTGGCGTTTGAAGGGGTCCACGAGCTGCAGGCTCGTGGCAGACCTCCGGGGAAATCTCGTCGGAGACCACGGAGAGCGCGAGCTCGCGCGCGCCGTTGCCGCCCTGGCCCTGGCGCTCACAGCTCATCACAGCTCATGCGAGCTCCAGGGCACCAGCTGTCGAGGACTTGTCCAAGCTTGAGCGGCTGGAGCTGCGTCTGGCCGGAAATGGACGGACGGGGGCTGGGCCCTGGCACCACGAGCTGAAGAATGCAGCGCCTTGAAAGCAATCGGTGCAGAAGGCAAGAAACGGCACAGAGTACTTGGAATGAGGTGCAGAAGCTGCAGACGGGTGGCTGCATTTGTGACTTCTCATACTGACCGAGTGCATTCGTGCCGTCAAAATCTAATGATGCAGGCTTGCCAATCTTCGGAAGGCCCTGGCAAAAGCCATCAGGCCTTTGTACAAAATCTTCTGTGTGCAGCGGACATGGGTGATAGAAAGTGGTGACATTGCCAGGGAAGTGCATGGGCACAAGTGTAGTGTGAATCGTCCATCTCCGACCTTTCGTAGGCCTGTACAGAGGCAGAGCGGAGGGATCCAAGCTCCTTTGTACTGCATGGATCCGATCTAAACTCATGCTTTGCAACGCAACTTGCTTTGCGCATGCAGCGCAGTCACGAGGCTTGTGAATATCTTGCTGTTGGTTGAAGTTGGTTGGCTGCCCTCGAAGGAGTGTTGAGGAGAGCCTTTGCCACTGTTGACTTGTTTTCCTGCACATGAGAGTGTCTGTTAAACATCTGGGATATGTTCAAGCCTCCTTGATGCAGATGCCACCAGCCCCCCTGCTGCCGGCACTGTTGAATTAAGGGCAGGCTGCTCAGCCATCAAACCAGTGGTGATGCTCAAGCAGAGGTGCCGCGAGCAGAATCAGAATCCCTTTGTGGAGATGAAAAAGCCACTTTCCCCGGACAGGGGCAAGCAGTTTCAAGATGCATGTTTTCGTTTTTGCCTGCGACCTGTGTCTACAGAGAGGGTTGGCGTCTCATTTCCGCATTGAACGCCCTTGGTTCAAAGGAGCTATCCTTCGGGCGCATGTAGGAAAACAGGACCAGACAGGGCCGTGCGAGGCTTTGTCTCGCCCCTGCCCTGCGGCGCGGCCGGCGGCGCGGCGCGGCGTGCGTCGCTTGGGCCTTGGGCCTCCTCGCCTCTGGAGGCTGCAGGCTGCAGGTGCCTTTGGTGCCTTTGTTACAAAGAGATTCCCCGCCGATTTTTGAAAGGCCCAGCATGGCAATGAATCCGGCCAGCGTGTCGCAGCTGCTCGAAGACATGGAAAACTGGGACAAGGCCATCGAAGGCCTCTGCCAAGACAAAGCGAGATTTCCTTTTGGATCCACTGCAGGACAAGCGGTTCATGGCCGCCTCAGACTTGACACAGGAGGTGACTATGTCCAATCAGGCCGGGTCTGGGACGAACCTAGAAACTGGACTCTGGACCTAACTCTGTGAAGAAGACCGCTCGGCAACTTGCATGTCTTTTCGATTTCCTTGCTCTTCGTGTTGCTACTGCCCAACGGATACAGATACAACTGGGCCAGGCCCTGCGTCTATGGGTTTTCATTGCTCTTTCCCTAGAGGCAATTTCCGATCAGATCAGGATTGCTCTTGGCGTCTGAAGGCCTTCGTGCAATGCCGTGGTATGTAACACGGGTGCAAACGCTCAGCGTTTTTGTTTGGGATTGTGCGAAGCACGAACCAGGTCACCGCTTGGCTCACTGAACGGTCGGAATGCGAAGTAGTCTCCAGAGTTAGGATTGTCTACACTGTCTACACCAGACTTCATTTCAGCAGTATTCCCTGTGCTATGACAAGGTGCTGGACGTGCATCTCCAGAAGAGAGTATGTCAAGCTTTTGTCAAGCAGCTGGAGGCTACAGCAGCTACTCGTATTCCAAGATGCAGTTTAAACCCGTCGGGGCATCTATGTTGTGGCCAGGACCAGAGCATCGACGTGCAGGGAAATGCCGTGCCTGGACATCATTTCTTGTCGTGGCTTCATCAGATCAGTATGTCACTGTCTTTAAACCCTGTGCAAGGTGAAGTGCCTGGCCAAGATAGTGTGCAAGTTCCAGGAGCAGCAAATCGGAGAGGCACCTGCCGCCACAGCCATGTGAATCTTGTGCTCTTTTTGTCGAATCTCCAGCTGCCCGCAGGTGCTGGCGAAACTTAGCCAGCAAGTTCTAGATGGCAAGGCTGAGGCGGGGAGTGCGTTCGAAAGCAGATGACTTGTGGAAATCTTCGCCTTGCAAAGCTCAGGTTCGGGATATCTATGCGACATGCTTGAAGGGCTTGTTGTCCGAGCTGTTCCTTGACTGCCATTCCTGTCGAGGGGAAAAAAAGGTCGGACTGATGTTGACGCAGTTCTGATCAGGCCGGCCTCTTGTAGTGCTCTCGCCTGCCAAAATGCCTGGTCCCCAGAATGTCGCAGTGCTCAGCTCTCGAAAGAACTTCTGCGAGGTCCTGCCAAAGATGTTGCACGGCATCACATCCATTCCTTCGCTAGAGGCAGCACCACCCAGCAGGACTGCTTCAAGTTGTCCCCTTTGTCACTTTTGGCTACCCGGAGGTCAAGGAAGAATGTACAGACGTCTTCCATGATTTCTTGAAGAGATTCGGTGCCGGCCCTGGCATGCTGACCGAGACTGCGCTTGTGAATGCTGGTAAGTCTTGCCATAGCAAAGCCTGGTCGGCTTGTCCTGAAAAAGACACGATCAGAGCTTATTTGCACCAGTTATGTAGTAAATCAGCAAGATGCGCACATAGAACAACACATAGTAAATAATATAGTATAGTAAATAGATGGTGATGATATGATATACCGTCGCTCCAGGTTCCTTAGCAGAGTAAGATGAAACTTCGTTGCTGGTCATGAGCGGGTTGAATGTTGCTGCGGCTACTGTGTAGAGCCAACAATCAGTGCCACAAGATCTGTCTTTGTCATCGCGATGTACACTGCGGTCTCAAGGATTAGCTCCTACCAGTAAGTATGTTAGTCTCCATGTCGCCTGCGTTGTGGAACACTTGTCCACTGCATTTGTGTTTTCTTGAGCATGACTAGTACTATCCATTCTCATCTGCAGGACAAGGGCCGTCCATGGTAGCCCATCAAGGAACTAATCAAATCAGTGGAGCTGTTGCTTCTATTCCCAGTTTACGGTCGTGTGGGCTTGTCAACATGCTACAATTCTCAAAGTACTCCGGCGACGACCTGCACACCAGCCAAAAGTAGCTGGTTAGCAACCCCAGCTGGTGAAGAGGTCAAGGAAAGGTCTGACGGGCCGTGCAAGCTACCTGTGCCACGAAGATTGGGTCGGAGCAGCAAGCGCCGTTTGTGCGATTTTGAAATGCACGCAAGGGGGCACGAAACTACATCACCAACAGACTATGCGCGAGTTGCAAAGCCTTCGAGGGCTTGCACGCTCCGGCTGCCGCGCCTTTCGGCCAAACCTTTCCGGGCTTCACAGTCGCAAGGCGGTGACGAATTATTTCAGCTGTGTTCACACATCGCGGCTTGAGCCCATGTGCTCGCAACAAGTTCCTTGCCATTTCTTCCCTTTGCGGTACAGCTGTTGCGTGTGCCCTGCTTCTGTGGTCAGTGCTTGGGATGCATTGCTTGCCAAAGACCTGCAACCGAAACCGGCTGTCAAAAAAGGACCTTTTCTCGTGACGGAGTGCAGCATGTCATGACTTTGTCATGAGATGTGCACGGATACTGTGTTGTAGGCCCCATGAATATAGTAGCTTGTACGTATTCATACATGTATATATGTATGTATGTATGTCTATATATATATATGTACATATATATATATATATTTATATGTTCTTCTTCTTCCACCGCTGCAGGAGAGTCCTGCGTTGCGAGTCTGGCAGCAGAGCGCTGGCACCTTCGTTCATGCCGACTCTTTCGGCACCCGAAGTCTTAGCCAAGGATGCCAAATAATGGCAAAAGACATCGTGCTCTTTTCAGGTTTCCAAGAGCAGTCGTTTGCAACCGAAGACAAGACAAAAACAAGGTAACGACCAACCTGGACACAGCACTCAGTAAAACCGCCAGTGAGAGCAATCACCTAAAACCCTCCTTTTGTTTACCAAACTCACCAAAATCACCCTCAGGTCTGCTCACCCGGCCTGACCGCCCCTGTACTGCGGTGAGCCATCCTGAGCAGAGCTATCCCAGACATAACCACGAGTTGCCTACATGCATACCTACTTCCATATGCATGTTAGAACGCACGGAAGGTCGCGTAGCATTCGTCAAACATGATGGTCTGAACAATTATTCAGAGGGCCTCTGACACATAAGAGCGATCAAACGTTGTGCTGGGGCTCAAGAATGTTTGAGGTGGCCCTGGAAACCCTTCGATTCCTCCACCAGGGTCTTTCGAGTAATTAGTGGGGTCTAGGTTGTCCGGGCCATTGCAGGGGCACTGATTTAGGGGGCTTGGTCTCAGCCTTCCTTCTTGGATTTCTGTGTGCTTCCGGCTTGTGGGGTTACCTCGTTTTCCGCTGGACTTTGGATCCGCCTCCGACTTCTGGCCGCCCTGACCTCCCTGCCACCA